GCTGATACCCCCAGGCAGGCCTTGCGTGTAAGCCCATGTGGATGCCAGCAGGCTGAGTCCTCTGCCACCTCCACTGGTTGGGAAAGAAGGGGCTCGGACAGGTCAGGCTAACGTGTGTGGCACACCGTGCAGCCAGACTGTCTGCCTCCTGGCGCTTGGTGCTTGTCCTCTCACTAACGCTGAGATGCTAGGCAAGACTTATTAGGGTACTCCAGCTGTGTCCCCGTCATGCTCTAGGAACCCGGAGATGGTTGTCTAGTGCATTCTCAGGGTGAGAATCATTCTTGAAGGAAGAGGAAGATGAATGGCAGGCCAAGGTCAGAGTTACATAAGCCAGCAGAAATCTCTCGCCGGCCCATTATCCTCACAAGCCAGAGCGCTGGAAATGCAAGATTTTCATTAAGTGTGGCCCCATTTCCTCCAGGCTCCTAAAGAGCCCAGTGGTCTCTTTCCCCTGTCATCAATCAAGCAAAGTGGGCTGTTCGTGGAGACATCATAGAGATAAACGGCAGGCACTGACCTCTGACCAAATCTGCAGACGGACTCCGGCTGGCCGGCAATGTCAGAAAAGCAGTGAACAGAGGGTCCAGCTGGGAGGGCAATCTGACATCCAGATGCCACAGCACGGACAATCTATCCCCAGGCAAGGCCTCTGTGCCAAACTGCTGCTAGCCCACCTGTCTTGAGAGGGCACTGCGGCCAGGTCGGAGGATGGAGCAGATGGTGGCCGAGGGTCAGGGTGGGAGGAGGCGCTGTACACCACTGAATCAGAAGGGAGAAGATGAAGGAGCATCTGTTTCCACACAAGCCTCTCTCGGCTCCAAACACACATGTGGACACCTGCTGCCAGAGCAGTAAGCAGCTGCACCCACAGAAACTACCTATGTGCTTGATTCACAAGGCCTTCCGCACTGCCCTTGTCCGGCTGCCAACTGGAGTCTTCACCATTAAGTAAGACACTAGAAGTGACATGAAATCTTAGGTAGCTGGGATGGAAGCCTGGGGGCATGTGTCAGAGGAAAAGCTCCTCTTACCAGATTGACAGAGACCTATGACCAGGGGAAAGAACAGAAGCTTCTAGGAAATGGGGACTAGCGGGTCTGTGATATACTTTAGCAAGTTGAATGCCAGAGGGAGGGGTGATGTTGCCAGGCCACCCAACAACTTTTAAGTACACAGAGATGTAAAACTTCCAATCGGAGAGGACATTTTATGACAACACCATATTGGCCCCCGCAGCTTAGATCAGACTGCATCATGACCAGACAGGCACTTCATAATAACCCAGCACACTCTGGAAACACATCTGAATGCATGGGGTGCCAATGAGATAATGCTTCTGCTAGTTCAATTACAAGCTGATATCACTGGGAGAGGCAGTTCTAATGACAGAGCACAATAGCAAGTCTTCCCTGAGCAAGGCTGCCTGGGAAATCTTAGCAAATTCTCAGGGTTCTGAGGGACTGGTTATCACTTTTATTACTGGCTGAGTCAGCCAAGCCCTAAACTAACTTGTCAAGAAAACAAAAACGAGAAACACCCAAGTCAAGTCAGACAGTGCTTTGTAGGGAAGAATAAACAAGAGCACACAGGCAAGTGCAATGCCTTTTGAAGTCGCTGTAAGCCACTTACTTGGGTATTTTTCTTCCAAGGGACTTGCTCTGTACTAAACAACAACCAAATTGATTTGCTCTAATAGTACTTGGTTGGATTTTCAAAACAGAAATCCCTGACCACAAGGCTAAGAGAGGAAGACAGAGTCTCTGAGACCAGTTCACTTCCGTAGAGAAACCTGGAGATGGATGACCTTGCAAAAATGCCCTATGCTTTTACAATCCTTGGATTCTTTTGTCCCAAGGGCAGCCATCTGGGAAAGGAACTAAAATGGACTTGGGAGCTCCATTTCTAGGGGGATTTTCATTAATTTCATCAAGACAAAGTTAATAATCCATGACAGCAGCTTTTTTTTCTTCAGTTGGTTGTTCTAAGCATGTTAGAGTCTTTTCGATAAATCTCACAGCTAGAGGCTAGTAGAAATTAGTTTGCCTTCTACGCTGTCATTAGGAAGGAAAGAAGTGGTAATAGTTTCTGAGAAAACTTGAAGGGAATGGCTTGTAAATGAGATGAATCTACAAGCTTCCCAAGTGTTGGGCAGAGGAGTAAATAAATCCACTCTCCCCTCCCATCAAACCCTGCAGAAAGATGTAGATAACAACAGACGGAGAGAGAGAGAGAGATCCTTCTTTAATAAAGTGCTTTACTTATCTCTATATAAAGAGGCTTCTAAAGACCATTTAACTTGGGTCTCGAGTCCCAGGTTATTAGCAGAGTCATCCCATATATTCTTATTGATGGTCTTCAGGGTCTTTCATGGAGAGCTAAATGGATTTGAAACATGCTCTGTCTTCTTCAGACAAGGCAGCTGAATGAGGGATGTGGGCAGTGAGAATCACAAAACTTCTGATCCAGGGCTGGAGGGGGGGATGTAACTGCTCTCCTATACAAGGTGATGTTTTTAGCTGCCCAAATACAGGTACGTGGGCATCTTCAGCCTTTCTGTGGACACTTCTACCATACTGGCCACCTCTCCCATTCTGATGGCTTTCCTAACAGCTCAGTCCTGTTCTACACAATTTCCACAAGTTCTCTCATTTACTTTTGATAATGATCCTCTACGGTAGCAGATTTTCATGTCTTGGACTGACAATGCAAGAAACAGAGGCACAAAATAGCAAATGAATATTAACTGACTAAACAGTAATGGTGGTGTTGGCGGCACAACTACCATAAACAGGTCTCTATGGTTTTGTTCTTTATTTTACCTCCTTATGTGGTACCTGTGTCTCAGAAAGAACAGGGACAGGGAGGGGCCCTGAAGTGTGCGGCTCAGAGCCTTTGTTACAAGTGTGGGTAATCACCACTTTAGTATGCCATCAACTGAACTTCCCTCATCCCCCAAGACCTCCTTGCTCTCTTCCAGAGAGCAGGCTCTTTGTACCTACCAGGCCTGAACTCCTTACAGGTACCAACTCATAACAAGAAGAGTCATTGTGAACTTTGACAAGTGTAGACCTCTTTCCTCTGCCACATCCTGTACTGCCCCTGTCTGTGCGACTGAAAGTGGCCCTCCTTTGGGGAAAACTGAAGTAGTTCACTTAATGAAAACTGGAAAATAGGTAGAGGGATAGGAGGTAGGAAAGGGACCAGGATGACAGAGGCTGCAGGGGAATTAAAACACATCAAGGGAGTGGGAACCTGGGAGATCATCAAGGGAAGGAGAGCCATGAACTTAGGTCCAGCCAGCAAAAACATTCCCCTCTCCCCGTGACAGAATGGGGACACTCATACAGCCCGGCCCCTTGTCCAACTTTGCACTTATCCACATGGAAAGGGAGAGTAAGCAGACATGCTTCCAGGGAGAGGGGCCCACTTGACCCTTGTCATCTCTTCCATTCCCCAGGAAAAAGAAGACAAAACAAAATTGTATCATAGGCCTTTCTAGACCACAGCTCGGAGTCTCTAGTTCATGTCTCTGTCAAGTGATGGAGGAAGGTCATTGGTTAATTATAATAAAGAAACTGCTTGGCCTCATAGGTTAAAACATAGGTGGGAGGAGTAAACAGAACAGAATGCTGGGAGGAAGAGGAAGTGAACTCAGAGACGTCAGGCTCCTCTCTCCCAGGCAGCTCCGACCCAGGATGGACGTAGGCTAGAATCTTTCCCAGTAAGACTGATGCTACACAGTTTATTAGAGATGGGTTGATCAGGATATCAGAATTAGCCAGTAAGGGCTAGAGCTAATGGGCCAAGCAGTGTTTAAATGAATACAGTTTCTGTGTTGTTATTTCGGGGCATAAGCTAGCTGGCGGCCGGGGTGCTTGGGACACAGCCCAGCCGCTCCTATTACTATAGTCAAGGACCAGTGCCCCAATCTCTTAAGCAAATCCTCACCACCTTGGAAAATCTTAGCTATTCTACCATGCCAATTTAGCCAGTGTGCTCTCTGGCACAGTGGGCACCACGGGAGGAAAGGTGCTCCAATTGTAACCAGCGCCACCCGTGTTTCCTGCCCATCGAGAACTAGTTTCTCATGTGTAACATCTATGAGACTTTTTTTTCTCCTTCTGACAACATAAGATTATAGAGTTGGATTCTATGCTTTCACTAATAAAATATTTCTCGAGCCCACCCAAGATTCCCATAGTCCCCTCTCCATTATGAAGGTCCTCTGATGTGGAGACAACAAAAGGTCCTAAGCAAGGCTGACACTCATGGGCAGACACAGCCAGCACTGATCCAAACTCCTGATTAAAGATCATCAAGTGTTCTTGTTCATTATATTCCAAATGTTGATGTGGATGCACGGAAACCAGTGGGCATTCGCCACACTATCTTCCTGTTTTCAAAGATCTACACAGCAAACGATCTGTACATAGAATACCTATTTACTATGCCAAGGCCACAAGGCTAGAAGATGAAGACCACACATATACCAAGACAGTGACAGAAGTACTAACAAAATGTTTACACCCCCATTTAGGAAGGGGTACAGCAACAGGCGATGCTCTAAACCTGTTCTCTGGCCTTTTTGCTTGGAGGAGATCAGGCAGATGTTTTAAAAGCATGGTGTCTGTGTAAGTGACTTCTTACAAGAAAAAATGCAAGGAAGTCTCCATCTCCAGCCCTGCCACAAAGCACTCAGAATAGAGGCCTAAGAGACAGTAATCTATCCTACCCCAATCATGTAAGCTTTAAATACCAGAGATAACCTGTGAGTTAATCAGGCCTTGCCTGCTGGTACCAGGATTAATTACCACTAATGCTACTATGAGACACTTGTGTCCAGCTGACTGGTTTCCATTTCAGCCAATTACAGTATTGTAGTCATTAAAGTGGGTGGGTAACTGTGTTCAGCTAGAGCCCAGCATGCCCAGCATGTCTCCTGTCTTAGACCAAGGGTGTGGTAGGTGACCTGCATGGAAGAGACACTGTGCACTGACCTGCAGCATTTGGAGGTAGCCTTCCTGTGGATCACAGAGCAGGGAAGAGATGCGATGGTTGTTCCTCATGCATTTCTGGTTGTCCTTTGCAGATGGGAAGATTTGTCGGACCACGGTCATCCTGCCAAGGGCACTGTGGACCAGATCCAGGATCTCGGGGTCACTGATTTCCTAAAGAAATAACCAGATCCATGCTTATACCCTCATGAATAAAAAAGTCAGTAGGAGGCATCCAGGCCAAAAGCCCAAACAGTTAATGCTGAAGACATCAAAGTATTAGGTCCAGGCTCTACAATTCATTAGCTGATTCTTTACATAAAATACTTACCATCCTTTAGGTCCAAACAGCATTATTCAACATTCCCTCTGAGAGAGGTCTGGTCTGTAGTGTCGCCAAGGTATAGTAGAGTCAAATATAATCCTTTACTGGGGAGCATACTGATTCTGCTAGATCTTGGCACACCAGGTGTTTTACATGCATTCATTAATGCCATACTAAAAAAACAACCCTAGAAATACCATGAGGGGGGATCCAATTATTATGACATTTCATTCTCAAGCTTAGGATTTGAAAAGGGAGCTGCTTATAGGCATATCACTCCAAAGGAAGCTTCTACAAGAAATCAGCCTTAAACTGAGCCTAAGAATAAACATGGGTAAAGACAGTGTGTGTGTGTGTCTGTTTGTCTGTCTGTCTGTCTGTGTCTGTGCACATGTGAGTGCATGCGTGCATGTGTGTGAGTGCTTGTGCTGAGGGCAAAGTGCAGAGCTGGGAACCTGGTGCTATAAAGACTACAGCAAGTAGATAGACTTGGCTCCATGTAGAGGCATCAATGGAGGAGAAGCAGATGGAAAGTCAGGGTCCATCCATTCCACTTCAAACAAACAACAACAGCAACAGAGAAAGCAGGCATTTTCCATAGCGGTAGCAATGAGCTTGAAAAAATCTAGGGACAAATACGCTATAATCAGAATGGCCTTTCTGAAAATTTCTGGCTGTTTTCTGGAGCAAGGATTGGAGAGGAACAAACAGAGGAGGTGGAGGCAGAGAAGAGAGAGCAAGGCTTCACAGCTGGGCCCACAACTGAGCTACAAACAAAGACATGGAAACCAATATTCACCCAGTGTTCCAGAAGTGGAGCAGGCAGACTAAGGACATCCCAGGCTCACTGTCTCTGAGAAATTACTACATCAACGCTTGGCTCCAAGTCAACATTTTAACTAAAATTAGTTGTATTTTAAAATAATCTTTAAATCTTCCTCTTACAGATGAGCCATTCTAGTTTTGAGTCCCTGTGACAGTACAAATGGAGCCAGCCAGGCAGGAAATTAGTGGTTGGGATTTCAAAATCATTTAAATGAGAGCATAACATTTTAAGGGCTAAGGTGCTAAATCAAGCATTTAGGGTCTGTCTTGGGTTTGCCGCTGTGTATCTGTGAAGCCCGGTCAGTTGACAGCACTTGCTAGATTGGGAAGAACAAAGCACAAAGACTCATCTCCTCTTAGTGTTGTTTCCTAAGTGTACTGAGATAACTGATCTCAAAAAAAAAAAAGTCAAAATGCTATTTAGTGTGGATCTACACCCATGCCACAGAAATTTATATTCGCGATGGATTGGGACCAAGAGGTAACCAGAAGTGAAGAAATCGGTCAGAAAGGACGGTCCCTGTACACAGAGAGCTTCAAAGTGGGCAGAGCTGGACATGTGCACTCGCTTCTGTTCTAGCAGCCCTGGGATCACAGGCTAGAGGATGAGAGAAATCACAGCCTAATCTCAAGGGGATGAGGGATGTCAGAAAGAGGAACAAGTAGGCCGTTCACTTTGCCTAAACTAGAAGCAGAGAGGACTTGGGGAGGGAATTTCCTATCTAGAAAATGCATGATGCTAGCCAGGCACAGGGGCTTGCGCTTACCATCCCAGCATTAGGGAGATTGAGGGAGAAGAGTTGCTGCAAGTTCAAGGCCATCCTGGGCTACCTAGTCAGTTATGGGCCACCCTGGCCTAGAGTGAGATTCTACAGACAAACAAACAAATCAGCAGAAGGGAGGAAATAAGGAACGCAGGTGTCATGAAACACAAAAGTGGATTTGTGAATAAGGTGTTAGAGACAACAGAACTGTAAATCAAAAACAATGTGTCTCATACCATTGATTCTTCCCACATATTCTTGATAGAAAAATGCCACTATAGAGGCAACAGCCATTTTATAAAAAATCCTTGTACTAAGCCTCTCCTGCTTCTTCAACTGCCAGAAGGACAAGCAGAAATACTCAGTTCTCACCACCACACTCTAGGCAAATTTTGGAAATTTGTTATGGATTTGACCTACATGGTGGCCCAGTACTTTCGAGGCCAACTGGCTTCTTTACCTATAGTGAGAAGCTAAGTCATACTGTGCTATGGCCTGTGTGGGCACTCAATGCTTGCCCCCATCGGCCCTGATTTTCCAACACTTCTCTTCTATTATGCCTGCCCAGGACCTCATAAAGACTTGGCACAGCCTTACGACAATCTAATAGCTTCCATATGCCTCCCTGGCAGTGGGGATCGGCTGGAACCTTGTATACTTTCCCGTAATCCCTCACCCAGTTCTGCTCCACTGGTCAAGGCTCACAGCATGGTCCCATGACTCCTATCCCACTCCCTGTGCTTCTAGACTATCCTTCTTGTCCAATCTGGAGATATCTGCAAGGAAGACCTGGGAGTCCACTCAGTTATTCACAGACAGCTAAAAAGGTTGAATCCCATCCTTGCCCTAATTCTGAATAAAGATGAGCAGTCCATTCTAGCAGCTGCACGCCAGGATCTACTCCTGTCTGGCTAGCCCTGATGTTAGCAGAATATATGCTAATGTCCCATTGTAAGAGATCCCAAACTCTAGACTTCCTGTACAGAGGAAAATATAAGCAGCCAATTTAAATGGGCAGCTGGGAGGGCAAACTTCCCCTTGTCGCAGTTCAGCACACATTCATAGTGCTGCTGATAAAGGGAAGCCGCAGGGCAATGTGCAAGCAGCACTGTGGAGTCAACAAGTAGAGGAGAAAGAGAAAAAGGCAGTATGTCATATGATGCGCTCAGGAGTTCAAAGGAACCAAACAGGCTTGAATTTTTATACATTCTAAGTTATAGTTTCCACTGTGAGATAAGCCTAATCATTTTGTACATTAAATATGAACAACAAAATTAATTCCCTGTATCTTCAATCAAACTAAGAAGTAAAATGATGCCCACATCTTAGCTGGATGGTTTCTCATGCCCACTCCTCCCGTCTAGCCACAAGCAGCATCTGTCACATAAGAGCATAGATTCCACGTAGCTTAGGCTTGTATATGTTGCACAATATGCATCCTTCTTGATCATGTTTTAGCATCATGTTTTTCATATGCTGCTGTACATTAGAGTCATCTGGGAGCTTAGTAACTGCACAGGAAAGCAGCCCTAATACACCTCAAGGAGCAAACACTCTGGGCTCTCCATGAGCACTCTAAATAATTTCCCAATAGTCATCTGCTTGCTCATGGGATGGAGAGATGGCTCAGTGCTTAGAAGCCAGAACCCATGTGGAGACTCGTAACCATCTGTAACTCCAGATCCACTGACTCCAATTCCCTTGTCTGGACCTGAAGGTACTGCAAGCACATGGTGCACATATATACATGTAGGCAAAACACACACAAAGTAGAAATAAATAATTATTTAAAAATGAAACAGCTAGCCAAACATTAGAGCTCTGAGGTTTATCCACGGCAATGGGAGTGGCTCTGATTTAATTTTTGTGCGAGACAATACTATATGACAAAGTCATCATTTATTCATCCATTGTCGATAATGTTTAGGATGCTTCATTTGTTGGCTTCTATGAACAATTTCCTATGCACCTTCATGTACTTATGCAAGAATTTCTCTTGTATATAACATATAGGATTGTAGAATCCTGATAAGAGATAAGGAAGGAGGTTGGAGAGATGGCTTCAAAGTTAAGAGCACTGGCTGCTCTTCCAGAGAAGCAGGGTTCAAATTCCCAGCACCCACAGGGTGGCTCACTGTGTGTTAACTTCAGCTCCAGAAAATCTAAATCCACTTCGGGTCTCCCTAGGCACCTAGTGCTATGGGTATACAGACATTCATTACATGCAGACAAAAATTCAAACAAAGAAAATAAATATAACTTTTAAAAAAGAATAGGAACATGCTCAAATTTATTAGAAAGTGTCAAATTCCTAATGGAGTTATACCAATTTATAATCGTGTATGGCAAAGGAGCATTAGTCTTGCCTACTTACCCACACCTTATATATTATATGACTTCCTAAGATATGCCAGTCTCATGAGTATGGATTGGAATAATGCTGGGGTTTGTTTTTGCTATCTTAATTCTTAATATGGTTGAGTATCTCTCATGCATTTCTGAATCATTTATGTCTCTTTTCCTGTATTTGTGGGTTGTTAAATTTCCATTGGGCAAATTTCTTGCATAGTGATTTATGGTTCTCTTGTTTTTAAATTTATTCTAAATAAGGCTTGTCATGTGCTACAAACATCTTCTCCAAGGAAAGGGATGTTTGGGTCAGGCTTTAAACCCTAGAGAGCCTTGCTCTGTGGGCGCTGTGCATACCTGCTTTACATGGTATTGCTATACAGTTGCTGGTGTCAAATAACTGTTGGCAGGTCCATTAGATCAGGACTTTATTTATTCTTGAATTCTGCCTGTGTTTTCTTCACATATTTTAATGACTTGTTATTAGTTGTATACAAGATTATAAGTCTAGCTTCCTGTTGAGCTGGTAGTTTTATTAGTATTTAAATATCCTCTTTATATCTAAGAATGCATCTTGCCTTAATAGTTTCCTGTGTCTGTGGTTACTATAGCTATACTATTTGTAGAAAGCTTATTTATCCACATTTTTCATAGCCTTTTTTTCCTTTTATTTTTATCTGCCTTATGTTTGAGTGATGTGGGAGTCCCGTCTGTGTGCTATGATTACCATTAATTAATAAAGGCACTGCCTTGGCCTATTGATAGGGCAGAACTAAGGAAGGCAGAGAGGGAGACGCTATGGAACCGCCAGAGTCAGACATGCTGAAACTTTGCTCATAAGACACTGCCACGTAGCAATGTACAGATTAATATAAATGGGTTAAATTGATATAAGAGTTAGCCAATAAGAA